TCCCGAGGGCTTCTCGGGGCTCTTTTTCGGCGCTGGACGCCTCGGTGGTGGCTCCTGGGAGTTCGTGGGGGCCTGCTCCGAGCGTCTTTTGGGGCCTCGGTGGCGCCTCTTCGGGCGTCATGCGGGGCCACTCCTGGCCTCTTGGGGCCGCTTCGCGCCGCTCGGCACGCCTCCTGGGGGGCCTCTTGGGGCTCTCTCGGGGGGGGGGCTTGCGCAAGCCTCGAAAGCGTGTCGGAAGCGGAAGTGCGAGAACACAGAAAGCCATCGACTTCCCATAGTCCTTCAATGATTTTGGCATCTCGAGAGCTTCCCCACAGCTCTTAGGGGACTCTTGGGAGCCTGTTGCGGCGATCTCGCATGCTCTTGGGGGCTTCCAGAGCCGTCGGGGGTCCAGCTTGGACAGCCTTGGAGCACTCTTGGGCTGTCTCGGGGACGTCCTGGGCCGTCTTCAGGCTCTCCCAAAGCTCTCTTGAACGCCTGTGAGGGTGGCGCGGGATTTGGCAACCATGGTCGCGGAGTTGGCGGAGCCCAGAGGGGACTATTATTCTTAACATTGTCATTATTCTTCTTCTTCTGAATATTAGTTTCATTATTGCTACTACTACTATTAGCAATATTGTTAGAATGCTTCAACATAGCATTGGTTTGGTTGTTGCCATGTGTGATATTTGTACACTCGTAATACTACAATTACCCCAGTGCGACCCTACCTAGAAGTTGGAGCCCCTAGGAAAGCAGCACTAGTTGCTATGCTATGCTATGCTATGCCATGCTATGCTGCGCTATGCTATGCTATGCTATGCTATGCTGCGCTATGCTATGCTATGCTATGCTGTGCTGCGCTGCGCTATGCTGTGCTGTGCTGTGCTGCGCTATGCTATGCTATGCTATGCTGCGCTATGCTATGCTATGCTGGGCTATGCTATGATATGCTGTGCTGCGCTATGCTCTGCTACGCTATGCTATGCTGTGCTCTGCTATGCTAAAGCTCAACGAAGCTAAGGTGCAGGTAAGCTAAGCTAATATAAACCTGAGCTAAGATGAAGCTAAGCTAAGCTAATATGAAATAAGCTAAGCTAAGATGAGAAAACAAACCTGAGCTAAGATGAAACTAAGATGAAACTAAGCTAAGCTAAGATGAAACAAACTAAACTAAGATGAGATAAGCAACGCTAAGCTAAGGGGACGTAACTGGGGGAACCGCGAGGCGGATACCGGGGGAACCGCCCGGGGCGGGGTGCACTGCCCAGCCATTTAAGCCCAGAGAGTAAGAACCCTTCTAGGCAGAGCCTAGTAGGGAACAGAGTGAGAGCGTCGAGGGGCACACTATGATTGAGAAACAAAATATGCACCGGTGGGGGGATCAACAATAAGAAATGAGAGTTCAACAACAATAAACTAAGCTAAGATGAGACAAGCAACGCGAAGCTAAGGGAATGCCACTGGGGGAACCGCGGGGCGGATGCCGAGGGAACCGCCCGGGGCGGGGAACACTGCCCGGCCCTTTAAGTTTAGCGAGTAAGAACCCTTCTAGGCAGAGCCTAGGTAGGGAACTACTCATCACAATACTACTTCTATGACGATGACTACTACTACTACCGCTACTGCTACTGCTACTGCTACTGCTACTGCTACTGCTACTGCTGCTACTACTACTACTACTACTACGACTACTACTACTACTACTACTACGTACCTATCTACCCACCCACCTACCTACCTACCTACCTACCTACCTGTCTACCTATCTACCTACCTACCTACCTACCTACCTACCTACTACTACTGCTACCTACTACTACTGCTACTGCTACTGCTACTGATACTGCTACTGCTACTGCTACTGCTACTGCTACTGCTACTGCTACTGCTACTGCTACTACTGCTACTACTGCTACTACTACTACTACTACTACTACTACTACTACTACTACGACTACTACTACTACTACTATCACTAATACTACCACTGATACTATGACTACTACTACTACTACTACTACTACTACTACTGCTACTAAGCAAGCTTGCTGTTATAACTATTACGTATAAGACAAATCTGACGTGAAAGTCATGAAACAAACAATTCAGAACATATGGCAAAGCATGCGCGGTGGAGTGGCAGATGGTATGTTGGAACACCCCGTTGACATTTGTGCACAAAACGCCTTCCTCCTTTGCATTCTAGCAAAAGGTGAGAACAGAGACACACATATTCAAAAGACAAACAAACAACAACATCGACAACCTTCACGGCCGACTTTGCCGTAAAAGGTTGTGCCTGCGGGATGGCATTCTGTGTTGGAATGGGCAAGATATTAAGTTTGACTACCAAGTCTTCGCGGTAAGCAAGTCGACAGGTGTAAACCTCCGAAGCGACGCCGACGTCGTCGTCTGAGGGAGACCGATCGGGGGGGACCTGCTCAGGAGAGGAAAACGCCGACCTGGGATCGGCGACGGGCTCCCGAGAGCGACACCGCACGCTCCTGGGCGGGGGTGGGCCTACCAGGCCTACATCGGCGATGCCTTGGCGTTCGGGGGCCCGACGCGCTCTCCCTGAGCCCACCGCCCCCCCCCATCGCTGCCCCCGACCGCCGCCGGCCGCTTGCTCGAGCCGCGCGCTCTCCGAATCGCTCGCTCTGTCTCTGGCCTGTCTGCGCGAGGGACTCGCAACGCGCGCGCGCCCGCGCCCGCGCGGCCGCCGGCAGAGGCGTCCGAGGGAGCATCCTCATCGTCGAGGTTGGTCTTGTTTTGTTTGCTTTGGTAGTGGACTCCGCCGAGGATCACCCGAGGATGCCCTGGGACGCAGAGAGAAGAGGAGCAACGAGGGCGGACAAGAACGGGTGAAACGAACGGGGTGCAGCGTGGCAGAGTGTGGTCGAGGCTCGAGTGAGAGGGCATCGAGGTTCGAGGTGGAGCCAGACGGCTGCGAAGGTCCATCTCCTCTCCTCTCTCCAGGAGTGCGTCTCGCAATCTGGGGGGGGTCCTCTCGGAGGTTCCTGGTCTCCACCCTCGGCGGGCGACGGAAGCGCGATGCGGCCCTTGTCATCGGTGAGCTGCCTGCCTCAGGGCCCCATCGGTGAGTCACCTGCTGGGCGGGGGCCCTGGGCCTTCTTGGCCTGGTGCCGCTCGTTTCTCCCAGGTCCCGACGCTTGGATGCCATGTCCGCGGTTGCACGCTGGGACTTGCCGCAGCACTTGTGCGCGCGGATCCCTGCCGCCCAGCGCTGCCCATGTTCAACCTTCCCCTCCGCCTCCGACCCCCAGCCCCTTTCCAGCGCTCAGCGATCTGCTCTGTCTCTCGCGCGCACCGTCCCCGAGATTGTCTTGTGTACAGAAGGAGCCCGACCACAAGAAACCCTCCACAAGAAACTCAACCCTGAGACCCCAGGACGTCCATGTGTGGGAGCGTCACGCTTTCCATCGCAACACCATCGAAACCCAAGAAACCCAGGGCACCCTGGAGGCAAGCAAGGTGTTTCTTGACATGGGCTTCCTCTGTACTCGGATTTTATCTCCCTGGCTGCATTGCTCTATCGGGCACGGGGTTCAAGCTGAACCGCCGTACTCGTGGCATGACGCGTCCTGTCCCTGAGTGGCGCGTGCACCATGGTGGTACACCATGCACCAGGCCTCTGATCCCACCGACGGCGTTAAGCGCCCTGAAGCAATGGCACCTCAGGTATCACTTCGAACATCCATTCCCTCCTCCCTTCTCAGCCTTCTTCTCCCTCCTCCCTCCTCCCTCCTCCTCTTCCTGCTGCTGCTGATGCTGCTGCTCCTCCTCTTCCTCCTCCTCCTCCTCCTCCTCCTCCTCCTCCTCCTCCTTCTCCTCATTCAACGTCACCTCTCATCCCTCCGTCCTCCTCCTCTTCCTCCTCCCCCACCCACTCCTGTTCCGTCCGTCCCCTCCTCCCGCTCGCCCTCAACCATCTGCTGCGCCTCCCTCCTTCGCCCTCCTCCCCTGGGCTGCCCCGTCCTCTTCTTCATTCTTTGCCGGACACGGGCTCGAGCCGTTCCTCCTCATTCTCCTGATCCTTTCCCTTCTCCTACTCCTCGTTGTCGTCGTCGTCCTCCGCCTCGTCCTCTTCGTCCACCTCATCCTCTCTCCTCTCCCCTTTCCACCACCACCTCATCTTCCTCCTCGTCGTCCTCGTCCGCACCTAGTCCTCATCGTCTTCCTCCTCCTCCTCCTGCTCCTCTTCTTCCTCCTCCTCCTCCTCCTCCTCCTCATACCCTTTCACATCCCTTGCCCTCCTCGTGACCCTCCAAATTGTCCTTTCCACCCTGCTCATGCTCCTGTTCCTGCTTCTGCTCCTCCTCCTGCTCCTGCTCCTCCTTCTCCCCTCCTTCCCCTCCTTTCATCGTCCGAATCGCCCTCTTGATCTGACCCCAGTCCTCATCGTCGTCTTCGTTCCCTCTGCTTCCCCTCGTGCTCCTCGCCGTCCTCCTGATGCTCCTCCTCCCCAGCCTTCCCTCTCGTCCACGCCCTCGCCATCCCCAGCGTTGTCGCAGCGGCGCTGCTGCTCATCACCATGCCCGGCCATTGCCACTCTGGGTCCCGCTCCTGTTCGAGGCCGGGCGGGGCTGCAGAGCATGTGCAGGGTCTAGGAGTGGCCCTGGCCAGGCTCGGTGGTGCTCGGCCCTCCTCTGCCTCACATGTGGCGGCGCGCAGAGGGGGGCAGGGGGAGGGGGGGAAAACTTCTTAGAAGGAGGCTGCTTCTCAGAAGGCGCCGGCCTTGCACCCACAGACGAGGCCCGCACCTTCCGAGAAGGAGGGGTGCTTCTAAGAGACCTTCTCCCCTCGCATTACCCCCCTCTGCGCGTGGCCGACCTCCTCTGCCTCACATGTTTGCTCCATCCATCCGGGTGGCCACGGGACACACCTTGAATAGCCAATTGTCTGTCTCGTCGCCTCGGTCTGCCTGCCGCCGCACCCGCTGTGGCACCTCCAGGGCCGGGCAGAAAAATCCCTAAGGAATGCCCGCGCCTGGCCGGGGCTTACTCCTGGTCGTCCTCTCCGCCACCTCGTGGGCGCACGCTGAGGAGAAAGGAGGCAATTGCACGTCGGTGGGAAGAAGCGGGCAGAAGCGTGGACTATGCATGGGTTCAAGATAATCAGGGAGGTCCCGCAATCCTCGGCGCCTGAAGTAGATAATGGTCCACTGAGGGAAGACTGCATGCGTAAGTTCACAACAAATTTGGAGGCGACCAGAACAGAATGGACCTCGAGAGAATCTGTCAAGAAACAGATACGGGAAGATTCGCTCAAAATCGGTCCCGGGACTCCTCCTGGGGTCCATCTGGTGTAGTTCTTAGCCCAACATCAGTTTGTGACGGTCCCGGCGCCCGAAAATGGCCCCTGGGGACCGAAGGAAGCAAACCACATCCCCGAACCCAAAACGTCGCACCCCCTTCCCACTGGGCAGAACCGGTGCTGTGCCACCTCAGGACCTCCAGCCGGCTCAGACAGTGCGGGTCCCAGGAGTATACGCCACCACCACCACCACCTTCGTTCCTCCTCCCTCCTCTGCCCTCCTCTTCCTCTTCTCTTGTTCATGGGAGAGGGGGGCAGGAAGGTGGTGGTGGTGGTGGTGTATACTTTGTGCCCCGTGGACAAGAAAAATGACGGAGCGGCACGCAGCCATCTTCGAGCCATCTTGGGCCGTCTTGGTGGGCTGCTGGCCCGTCCAACGCCGTCGGAAGCCGTCTCGGGCCGCATTGGGGCCCTCTTGGGGTGCTCCTGGGCCGCATTGGAGGCCTCCTGGGGCGTATTCGAAGCCTCCTGGGGCCGTCTTCGGGCCCTCGTTGGGGGCCGTCTTGGGGGCTCGTTGGGCCACCACCAGCCTGGCCTCCGGAGGCCAACCTCCCCAAGGGGCCGCCGCGCCGCCGCGCCCGCGCCAGGCCCACCCCGCCTCCATCCGCCCCGGGGGCGCCGCCGACCTCGCCATCGCTCGGACGTCCATCCCCCTGTGCTTTTTTCGGTCTCGTGCGTGGCTTCTTCGCCAAATGATCAAGGATGCTCCTCGATGGTCCTCGCCGAAGGAAAAATGCACACGTCCGAGCGATGCCAAGGGCAGGCGAGCCCAGAATCGAATCGACGAGTCGGATCGGCGATCGAAGCGAACGGGCTCGGCGGAGCGCGGCGGCCAAGTCGGGAGGAGTCGCACCGGCAGAAATCGGCAGGCTGGTAGGCCTCTGGTGAGGAACCGGATCCCAAATCGGAATCCGAAGTCGAATCGAATCGGAAAAATGCACACGCCCGAGCGATGCCAAGCGCCCGAGGGGAGGCAGCTCCCCGGAGCAGGCCGCGCACGGCGGAGCGCGGCCGTCTTCGCGGGAGGAGGAGCGAGGCGGGGCAGCGCCGGCCTCGATGCTCCTCCTCCTCCGCCTCCCTCCTCCTCCTCCTCCTCCTCCTCCTCCTCCTCCTCTTCCTCCTCCTCCCCCTGCCCCTCCTCCTCCTCCTCCTCCTCCTCCTCCTCCTCCTCCTTCTCCTCCTCCTCCTCCTTCTGCTCCTCCTCCTCCTCCTCCTCCTCCTTCTGCTCCTCCTCCTCCTCCTTCTGCTCCTCCGCGCCCGCGAGGCCCGTGCTCGAGGGTGGTGGCTGGCCCGAGAGGCGGGTTTCTCCTCAGAAGGGCCCGCCGCCCGAGGCTTCGGCTCTGCTGCCGGAGCCCTCGGCGGCGACGCGCGGCCCCGACTCCTTCGCGTGGGGCAGGGCGGAGCCGACTCCGTCATCCCAAAGGCCGCATGCCCAGGTGCGTGCTCGCGTGGGCAGTCGCAGCGAGAGGGGATGGGGGAGGAGGCGAGGGAGGGCAAGGAGGGAGGGAGGATGGTGCACATCACATCCTCTTCCCCGTCCCATCCTCTTCTGCCAGCCCACCTCCCTCCAGTCACCCTTCTCCTCCCCCTTCTCCTCCCATGCTTCCTCCTCCCGGGTAGGAGGCCCCGAGTTTTGGCGGCCAGCCTGCGAATGCTCATTTCGGGGGGACCGAAAGACATTGGTACCGCTCCTCAGCAGACCTCTCCTGGGGCGCGGCGTGACCAGAATTCGGAGGAGAGTCAAGCCGTGGCGACGAGGGCTCTCCAGGAGGAGCAGCGGTATCAATAGATTTTCTCCTTGGAAGCTCGGGTGTGGCAATCGGGGGCGGCAAAGAGGGGGGCGTCCAAGAGGGGGGGTTCGCAAATCATGGCCGGCGGCATGTGCGCGGCCCAGCGGGGGGGGGCCAGGGACGCAACGAAATGAGAAGAGGCGCCATGAGATCTGGGGAGATATCATGGCCCCCGCCAGGATATCCCCCCCCCCTAGTCATCACCCCCCTCTTTGCCGCCCCCGAGGCAGGATCACGAAGGCCAGTGGAGCACCAGGTCGTCCGCTGCCGCGCCGGGACTCGGCCACCCGAGGCGCGCAGCCGTCTGACGGCGCCCCCTTCTTGAAGGGGCCCTGGGACAAAGAAATACACACAAATAAGAATCATCCCCATATTTTCCCATATGTTCTTGGTTTTTGTCTTCCCCCCCAACTTCCCATATTTCCCCATGTTTTCCTGGGAATCGACGATTCATTGTGTCTGTGTGTGTTTTTTTCCCCTCCTGACTTCTGCTCATCCGCCACATCCTCATCCACGCCCAGCGTACAAGGCCCCCCGTTTTCTGGATCATGCAGCTCGGCGGCGCGCGGAGGGTCGGAGTGAGAGGGGGCAGGCCTCCTCAAAAAGCGGCGGGGGCTCCGGAGAAGGCTTAGGACGCTTCTCAGAAGACGGGAGGCACTCTGAGCCCTCTGAACAGGCCCGCCCTTAGTGGGCCCTGGAAACGACAGGGCCGTTTTTTTACCCGTTCCGTTTTGCGTTTTTTTGCCGGTTCCGACGCCGTTCTTTTACAGGCTCCGTCGCCGTTGTTTGACAGGTTCCGGCTCCGGTCCCAATCCTGGAGCCGCTTTTTTGCCGTTTCCGGTCGCCGTTTTCTTGCAGTTTCCATTTTCAAGGGACATTTTTTTTTGGACACGGGGAGAAAACGGCCCTGCCGTTTCCGGGGCCCACAGAGGGCCCGCCCCTCTGCATTCCCCCCTGCGCGCGCCGCCGGAATGTACAAAGCCCGCCCTGCGGATGGCGTGTTGCACGACACCCCGTCATGTGGGGGCCAAGGTCGTCCAACACACCCCAGCCGGCGGGTTGACACGAGTTCCGCGTAATGGGAAGGGATGGGTGGCAAGGGTCGGATGTCAGATAACGGCGCGAACGCACCCAATCCGTCCGTTTCCTTCCTCCCGTCCCATCATGCCCCATCGCTTACGCCCCGCCATGCAGAAGGCCCCGTGCGGTACACCCTCCCTGGACTCCTACCGGGGACCGCCTCCCGTTCGCGTTCTTCCACATCGTGAGCGGCCAGGCGCAAGTGAATAACGCGGCGGAACCCAACGTCAACAGCTACGACAACGCCACGCTCTCTCGGTTACATGCTGGGATCGGCTCGTGCATGGTGGCAGGCAGTGGCAGCAGGTGCTGTCGTGGGCCGACGGCATAGGTAAAGCAAAGCATCGTCAACTACTACGCTGGGATTAGCTCGAGCGAGAAGGCAGGCAGTGGCAGCAACGGCTGGTAGTGCGAGAAGGTAAGCGGTGCCAGCATATGACCAGCTCGTGCGAGAAGGTAGGCAGTTGCAGCAGGCGATGTCAGTGCCAGCATGGGAACGCAGAAGAGGATCAACTGCAATAGGCTCAGCTCAGGCGCGAAGGCAGGCAGTGCCAGCAGCTGGTACAGCAACTGGAGCATCAACTGTATTGAGGGATCAGCTTTTGCGCGAAGGCAGGCAATGGCAGCACGCGCTGCCAACGCTAAAGCGGATCGTTGGAGAGGACCACCAGCCATAATGCAGGGATAAACTCATGCGGTGAGGGTAGCGATGGCAACATATTCTGTCGCTCGTGGGAATAACAATGCTGCAATGCTTGGTTCGGCTCGTACGAGAAGCAATGCACTGTCTGCAAGGACTGGCAGTGCACAAAGGTTCCCTGGGGTTCCCGGGAGGCCCAGAAGAACCCCGACCAAAAAAAACCATAACACCAAACACCCTTCAGGGGAGTTCCTGGAGGGGTTCTGCATTGGATATTCGGGGGGAGCCCCAAACAAAACCAAAAACACCCTCCTTGAGGAGAGTTCCGGGGGAGGTCATGCGAGGTCTGGGGGAACTCTCCAAAACCTCCCGAACACAAAAACGATCATTGAGATGGTTCCACGGGGGGGGTCCTGGGGGGCCCGGGGGAACCTCACCCAACAACCCACCCAGACACTTCCCTTCAAAAGGTTCCGGGCGGAATCCTGGCGGGTCCGGGCGAACTCCCAAAAGCACTCTCCTAAAACGTGCGCCCCCTGAGGGGGGGGTCCGGGGTGGGTTACGAGGGGGTCCGGGTGTCCCAATCGAAAACCCATCTAACTACCTCCCTTTAACACCATTCCAGGGTGAGGTCTTGGGGAGACCCTGACAAACAAAAACTTTGAGCGGGGTTCCCCGGTTCACCCAACACTCTCCCCAACAAACATACTTGAAGGGGGTTCCTGGGAGGCTACGGGGGAGTCCAGGAGAATTCGCCGACCATGTCGGCGTGTGGAATGGATTGTTCGTCGTGGTTGTTGTCCTCGTACGTACTCGTCGTCTTCTTTTCTGGGTCCGTCGCCGCTCCCCCCCTCTTTCCCTGGGCCCTCGTCCTCAACCGCGCCAGCCAAAGCGAAATGAGGCAACCCAGCCAAAGCTAAATTAACAACGTTGTCATTGAGTCGAAGGGAAGCCCCTTCCTTTTGATCCCTTCCCCGTCGGGGGGGGAGGGTCCGGGGGGGGGTCCCGAGTCAGAATACCATCCCCAGTTTGCAGCTTTTACAAGAGTGGCCACTCTGTAGATGCGCTGGAGGAGGGGGGGGGTCGCCACGACGGATCCGCAAGTGCGCCCTAGACGGCCCAAGCCTCACAAGACAGCCCAAGAACGCCTAAGGACGGCCAAAGGGGGCCCCCAGACGGGTCAAAAGAGCCCCACAAGGA